TCTTCTTCTTCTTTTTTTTTTTTTTTTTTTAAGATTTTATTTATTTGACAGAGAGAGATCACAAGTAGGCAGAGAGGGAGAGAGAGAGAGAGGGAGGAGAAAGCAGGCTCCCTGCCCAGCAGAGAGCCCCGTGCGGGACTAGATCCCAGGACCCTGAGATCATGACCTGAGCTGAAGGCAGAGGCTTAACCCACTGAGCCACCCAGGCAGCCCAGGACTGTTTCTTCTTGAGTTAGGTTTGGTAACTTAGGTTTTCTGAAAAAATTCTTTTCACCTAAGCTTTCAAATTTATTTGGTGTTAATGTTATTTGTAACACTTTCTATTTTTACAACTGCAACTGTGATCTTTTTAATTTAGAATATTATTTGTGTGGGTCTTTTATTTTTGTTAGGCTTGCAGAAGATTTTTGTTAATCATTTCAATGAACCAGAGTTTGGTTTCATATGCTCTTCTCAATTATGTCTGTCTTCTGTTTTATTAATTTCTGCTTATATTGTATTCTTTATTTTGATTTGCCTCTAGCTACTCATTTGGACTGCTTAACCCATACTTTTTAAACTGTCTTGTTTTAAAATAAATAAATTTAAGACTCTGACTTTTAAGTATTGTGTTAACAGCAACCCACAAGTTTCTTCATGTGGTTTTTTCATCTCAGTTATGTTTAATGATTCTGATTGTGATTTCTTTGTTAAGCCTTAATTATTTGACTGATTTTTAAGAAATTATAAATTCATGGCACCTTTTTAAATGACCTTTTTATTGGTGATTTAATGACAGATGATCAGATGGTCTTCATATTATCAGTATTTTGGTATTTGTTGAAATATACTTTGTAAGCTGGTACTTGGTCAATTTTTATAAATGTTTATCTGTTCTTAGGAAGAATATGTGGTTTTTATTTGCTGGGTAAGACCCCTGTCTTTTAGCTTAAGCTTACTACTGTTACTATATAAATAGACTCTATTTTTATTGTTTTTTTGTCTGTTTGATAATCAGTTTATGATAAAGTCTTGATGAAATCTCCCACTAGGGCAGTGGATATTTAAATTCATTTTCCCTGATTTGGTTGATTTTATTTCCAAGACACTGTTAAGTATTTACTAGTTACTGATTTCAGTTATCTTCTTGTTGGGTTATTGTTTTTTTAATTATTTAGGTAAGGTGCATCTCTGTCCCCACCAGTGCATTTCAGTTTTCCTTAAGTTGTATTTTCATTGGACATGCCTATTACTTTTTTTTTTTTAAGATTTTATTTGTTTGACAGAGAACACAAGTAGGCAGAGAGGCAGACAGAGAAGAGAGAGAGAGAGGAAGGGAAGCAGGCTCTCGGCTGAGCAGAGAGCCTGATGCGGGGCTGGATCCTAGGACCCTGGGATCATGACCTGAGCTGAAGGCAGAGGCTTTAACCCACTGAGCCACCCAGGCGCCCCTGGACATGCCTATTATTATACCTGCCTGTGTGTGTGTGTGTGTGTGTGTGTGTGCACGCGTGCGCACGAATTTTTGCCGTTTTCCCTCACCCTGCCTTTTGGTGTGTTTTTTGAATGCTTTGGGTGTGTCTCATAAATAACATGTAGCTGGATTTTGATAGTTTCTCCCATCTAATAATCTCATTCTTCTATTTATTTAATTTTTTAAAAGATTTTATTTGTTTGACAGAGAGCACAAGTAGGTAGAGCAGCAGGCAGAGGGAGAGGGAGAAACAGGCTCCCCACAGGGAGCCCAATGTGGGACTTGATCCCAGGACCCTGGGATCATGACCTGAGCCAAAATCAAGTGAGACACTTAACCAACTGAGCCACCTGGTGCTCCTAGATGTCCCCCTTTTTAATGATACTAATCATGTTGGGTTAGGACCTACCTGAATGATTTAATTTTAACTTGATTACCTTTGTATTATAAAGATCCTGTCTCCAAATACGATCATATTCTGAAGGGTGGGGATTAGCTGAAGGTTAGGACTCTAAAACATCTTTTTTGAGGAGGTACTAATTCAACCTATACCTTTAAAATAGATGAAGGCAGCCTATAGAGGGGGACCTTCAAACTTTTGGGACTTCAAAAGCTTTGGCCCCACATCCGTCTCTACTTTTTGGGACACAATATACTACCCTAGTGGACTGTGCCTCTTGTTTTTGCCCCCCTCAGGCTTTAGCACAGTGGAGGGTCTTCTATGTAAGTAGCCTGGGCCATGCCAACCACAGTTGATATTGGGTATGGTCCCATGACTAAATGTGTGTGCTCTTCCTTTTCTTGCCTGATTTCTTCCCTTCTGGTCTTCCTGTCTTGAAATGGTATGGTGAGCACCACCCAGCTCATCTTGAGGCTGACTGCACCTGGATGGGACAGCTCAGAAAATTGGAGCTGGACTTTGGTGTGATGTGTCGGTGGAGAATTTTGGAATCAAGGACTGCTTACTGAGGGGCAGGGTGGCTGCTCTGGCTCAGTAGCATGTGTGCCCCAAGCCTGCTGCTATGACGTGTATGTTTGTGTCCTCTCCCTATTTAATTATTGAAGCTCTAATTACCAGTGTGATGGTATTTGGAGGTAGGGCCTTTGAAAGGTAATTATGGTTACATTAGGTCGTAAGGGTGGGCCCCTATGATGGAATTAATGTCCCTATTAAAAGAAAGAGAGGCACCGATCTCTCTGTTCAAGTGCATGTATCAGGAAAAGGCCCGTGAGTACATAATGAGAAGATAGCCATCTACAAACCAGGAAGGGCCCTCACCAGTCACCGAATCTGCTGACACCCTGGTCTAGGAATTTCCAGCCTCCGGAAGTCTGACAAGTGTTTGTTGTTAGGTCACCCAGACTATGGTATTTTGTCATAGCAGTCCAAGGTGACCGAGACACCAGTGGAGCGGTTCCCACTCTTCTCTCTCTCCTTCACCTTGTGATCTTCAGACCAAGCCAGGGAATCTTGTCTAGGGAGAAGGGAGCCTTTTGTATTGATAGCTCACCCACGTGGTTCATGGGATGTGTGTGTGCACTGTTGTGTTTAGTGAAATGTGGGTGAAGCCCTGTGTTTGGAGGTACACGGTGTGTGTGCAGTATTGCGTTTGTGTCATTTACTCTTTAAACAAGTATGTTTTGAGTGAATTATGTACTGGGTTCTGAGCTCTCACCTCTACCATTTCATGAAAGCCACCCTTGACAAGATCACCAGGGTCAGTTCTTGCTCCTCATCCTACTACACCTGTGGGCTGCACATGACATACCTCATCATAGGGTCAATATGTCCTTCTAGACCAGCGCCCTCCAAGGTTTTCTGCTGTTTCAGTGCTTGTCCTTAGACTGCTTGACTGGTTGCCTCTCATTTGCTAGACCTCTTCATATTGAAATCCTCCCAAGGCTCAGTCCGTGGAGTATCACTCCCTTATGATCTTATCCAGTAACATGTTTTGGAGCAGGCTGCTGTCTCTCAAATTGAGATCTGCAGACTGGACCTTTTCATTGAACTGCTGTTCATTCTCCACTTGCTCACTTGACATTGCTACTTGGAAACCATCTGTGTGCATGCATGAATGCACAAACTGCACACACTCAGTCAAAACTAACTATTAACACTTACCCTGCCCCTATTTTTTCTTTCTGCATCTCAGTTAATACTCAGGCCAAAAATTTTAAAGTTGACTTTTAATTCCTTATATCCCACATCCAATCCTTTGGCAAATATTTTTAGATCTTCCTTCAAAATGCAAAGAATCTTAACCTCTCACCGCCTTCAGCATAGCTCAAGCCATCAACCCCTCTCGTTTGGAAGACCACAATTGGCTGATACTTGGTCTCAGCTTCTGCCTTTCTGACCCTACAGTCTCTTCTCAACACACCAGCCAGAGTGATCCTATTAAAATTAAAGTCGAGGTGTCAGCCCTCTCCAAACCCTCGCCATTGCCTCCCAGACCAAGCAGAGCAAAAGGACGAATGTTGGAATTATCAGGCCAGGAATTTTTAAAAACTGTGATTAGTATCCTCAGGGCTTTAATGGAAAAAGTTAGACAACATGCAAAACGCAGATGGATAATGTTAAAGAGAGAGATGGTAATTCTAAAGAAGAATCAAGAGAAATGCTATGAGTGAGAAGAACCAAAAAAAAAAAAAAAACAGGGACACCTGGGTGGCTCAGTTGGTTGAGCGGCTGCCTTCGGCTCGGGTCATGGTCCTGGCGTCCTGGGATCGAGTCCCACATCGGGCTCCTTGCTCGTCAGGGAGCCTGCTTCTCCCTCTGCCTCTGCCTGCCATTCTGTCTGCCTGTGCTTGCTCTCTCTCCCTCTCTCTCTCTGACAAATAAATAAATAAAATCTTTAAAAAAAAAAAAAACAAATGAATCCTTTTGATGGCCTCATAAACTGACTGGACAGGGCTGAGGAAAGAACCTCTGAGCTTGAGGATATGACAAAATATCTAAAACTGAAAAGCAAGGAGAAAAAAAGACTGAAAAAAATCACAACAGAATATCCAAAAACTGGCACAACCATAAAAGGCATAATATACCTGTAATGGGAATGCCAGGAGGAGCAGAAAGAAAGAAAGGAACAGATGAAATATTTGAAGTAATAATGACTGAGACTTTACCCCAATTAATGTTAGACATCAAGCCACAGATGAAGCTCAGAAAATATGAAACAGGATAAATGTCAAAAGAATGATACCCAGGAGGAACATCTGGGTGGCATAGGCGGTTAAGCATCTGCCTTCACTTCAGGTCATGATCCTGGGGTCCTGAGATCAAGCCCTGCATTGGGCTCCCTGCTTGGTGAGGAGCCTGCTTTTCCCTCTCCCTCTGCGTCTCCCCCCGATTCATGCATATGCGTGTGCGCACCACGCACTAGCTCTCTTGCAAATAAAATCTTAAAAAAAAAAAAAAAATGGCGCTTAGGAATATCATCTTCAAACTTTAGGAAGTCAAAGATAAAAAGTCTTAAAAGAAGCCACAGATAAAAACACTTTGCCTATACAGGAACAAAGGTAAGAATTATATCTGATTTCTTCTTAGAACCCATGCAAGGAAGAAGACGGGAGTGAAACATTTAAAGTATTGGAAGAAAAACCCACCAACCTAGAATTCTGCATCCTGTGAAATTACCCTCCAAAAGAGAAGAAATGAAGACTTTCTCAGACAAACCAAAACTGAGGGAATTTGTTGCTAGTGGATCTGCCTTGCAAGAAACTAAAAAAAGTTGTTCCTAGAGAAAGAAAATTAGATGTTCAGAAACTTTGATCTACATAAAGAAAGGAAGAGCATCAGAGAATAAATACATGATGGTAAAATGAAGACTTGTTTTTCTTAATCTATTTGCTGTTAGATAAAAAGTAACACATTTATACATAGAGACACATATATAAAAAGGATATACTATGTATAAATGAAATGAATGTTAGCAATGGTACAAGGGATAGGAGGGGAATTAGGAATATTTTGTTATTTATAACGTACTCCTACTACCTATGAAGTGGTATAATTTTCTTTGAAAGGGAACTTGGATTAGTTGTAAATGTATGTTGCCACTAAAAACAGTTTAGGGGAGCCCGAGTGGCTCAGTTGGTTGGATGTCTGCCTTTGGCTGGGGTCGTGATCCCAGAGTCTTAGGATTGAGCCCTGCAAAGGGTTCCCAGGATGCTCAGTGGAGAGTCTGCTTCTCTTCCCACTCCCCCGGTCATGCTTTCTCTTTCTTTCTTTCTCTCATTCTCTCAAATAAAATCCTTAAAAAGATAAACAGTTTAAAAAGAAGTATAATTGATATGCTAAGGAAAATGTGAGAATAGAATCCTATAAAATGATTTAAACCACAAATGGCAAAAAAAAAAAAATCAAGGAAAACAACAGTAAGAACAAGATAAGGGCAACAAGTAGTAGTAAAATATGGTAGATATTAATCCAACTACAGATATACCTTGTTTTATCGATACTACACTTTTTACAAATTGAAAGTTTGTGGCTACCATGTGTCAAGTCTTTTGGTGCCAGCTTTTCCAACAGCATTTTTTCTCTTTATGTCTCTGTCACATTTTGGTAATTCTTACAGTATTCCAAACTTTTAAATTATTGTTAGAGTGATGTGTGATTGTTGATTATGACTTACTGAAAGCTCAGATGATGGTTAGCATTTTTATCAATAAAGTTTTTTTTAAATTAAGGCATATACATTGTGTTTTAGGCATACTGCTATTGCATGGTTAACAGAGTACAGCTTAGTATAAACATAACTTTTATATGCAATGGGAAGGCAAAATTCATTTGTATTGCTTAATTGTGACATTTGCTTTATTGCAGTGGTGTGGAATGAAACCCACAGTGTCTCTGAGGTATGCCTGCATTGCATATCAGTAATCACTTTAAACATCAGTGGTCTTAAGTGCATCAGTCAAAAGAGAGAGATTGTCAGAGTGGATAGAAAAGTAAGACCCAACTACATGTTGTCTATAGAAAACTCACTTTAAATATAAAAATACACATAGATTTAAAGTAAAGGGTTGGAGAAAGGTCTTCCATGCTGCCATTAATCAAAGGCAGTAGGTGTACCTATGTTAATTTCACACAGTTTAAACTTCAGAGCAAAGAAAGTAAACAAGGATAAAGAGGGGTATTACATAATGACAAAAGGGTCAGTTCTCCAAGAGGATGTAGTAGTCCTTAAAGTGTATGTGCCTAACAACATATAGGCAGAATATGTGAGTCAAGAACTGATAGAACTGCAAGGAGAGATTGATGAATACACATTCTTCTCAAGGTCACATTGGAACATTGTCTATGATAGTCCGTATTCTGGGCTATAAGACATGCTGTGACAATTTTAAAAGAATAGAAATAATATAATGTCTTCTCTCAGACCACAGTGGAATTAAAATAGAAACCATAAACCAGAAAGACAGCTGGAAAATCTCCCAAATACTTGGAGATTAAACATACCTTTAAGAAAGATTTTGGTTTTTTGTTTGTTTATTTGAGAGAGAGAGAGCAAGCGTCAGTGGTGGGGAGAGACAGAGGGAGAGGGAGAAGCAGACTCCCCACTGAGCAGGGAGCCTGACATGGAGCTTGATCCCAGGATCCTGGGATCATGACCTGAGCCAAAGACAGACACTTAACTAACTGAGCCACCCAAGATGCCCCAGTTTAGAGTAGAAATCTGTGAAACTAAAGGTGGGAAATCAACAAAATGAAAATCTGATTATTTGAAATGGTTAGTAAAATCTGTAAGCCCTAGCCAGACTAAGAAAAAAGAAGACACAATATTATCAGAAATGAAAGGGACATCACTACGAGTCTCACAGACGGGGCTTGACTAGGAGTAAGGCATCCTAAAAGGTAATTGCCAGAGAAAGGTAAAATTAGGCTCATACAGATCACGTTAAAATGGACATGTGTTTTGTTTTTACTTACATAGGGAACCAGGCACATGTTCTAAACAGTTCAGATGAAGTCAAAAAGCTTACATTTATGTGATGAAAGGAATTGAATTGCAAATCTGGGCAAACTGATTTTTCTAGAGGGAAGAGAAGTCCTTGGGAACTACCGGACAAACAGTTTGCATGTGTGCCTGTCACCCACAGTTTTACAGAAAGCTGTACAATAGGTCAAGACAAGGAAGGCTAGAATCTGATAACCTGAAAGGTTGTGCTGGACGGATACAATGCAGTGTTTTTCTGAAACACTGTTTTTCTTCTGAAGACTTTCAGATAAATCAAGTACACTAAAATTTCATTAACTTGAGCTCATATAAATTGGTGAGCCAATGTGACTCAGGAAAAGTCGGAATTAGGGAACTTCCCTAAGAAAATATCATAGGAGATGCTAGCTCTGTCTCTGTTTACAGCTTTGCTCTGATTTAGTCACTGGATAGATACCCTGTGATCAGCCTTTCTTATGCACACAGGGAGAACCTAGCCCGGTAGGGTATGCTGCTTCCCTGCCAGTCTGTGGATCTGAGAAGTGACCTATCATCGCCTTGTTCTCTGGCTTGGGGGCCAGAGGCCAAACCAAGCCTTGAGTCCTGGCGAAGGCTCTGCAGCACCTGCTGCCCTGGCCTATGACCTTCCTTGGGGGAGGCCTGTCCACCTTGCTGGCTCTTCTGCATCAGGAGCACTGAGACTGTCTCTTTGATAATCCTGTCCTTCCTCTTCCCAGGCATTTTAGAGACATGCTTGGAAAAAGACCACTCTTGGGAGACATGAGGGAAATGGGCTGTCCGTGAGACGACAAGATGAAGAGACTTGAATGTGAGTAAAGCCACAATGGACAATGAAGTTAAGAGTATGGAAGCAAAACGGCATGAAAGAGCAGAGTATCTGTTGGAACTACGTTTCTCCTGGACAGAAGTTACGAAGGCAAAGTTTTCATTGACATAGTTAAATGGGAGTAGTGAAAACAATGTACTGGATTTTAAATAAGAGCAAATCTTAAACAAAACAAAATGAATCTATGTAATTAGCAGATCATCCTTTAAGATTGTGCATCCTACTTTTCCATTGCAATAGCCTTTCTTAGGAAGTATTGATGAAAATATACTTGGCCAAATAAGGTACTTATAAGGAAGTCTGTTAACTTCTCTCCCATCCTCCTTTTTCATTTTTCCGTTTGGTGAAATACAAAAAAACCCCTGTGATTTTATCATGGGATGAAAAAGAACTGGGAGGCCCACTAGCAGTTTTTCCCTCTTTTGCTTTGATCATATCTGGTAACTGCTGACGTTAGCTGTAGTGAGGAAGAAAAATAGCCCTGGATCTACTTAAGGAGCAAGCTGGGACCTAGATATACTGTTCCAGTATAATGATTCTGGATAAATGCTGCTTTGTGTGCTGAGAGAGTGTTCTACAGGATCAGTGGTCGCATTGACTAACACCCTTATCAAGATTGTTGTGTTTGCTGGGTACCTGGGTGGCTCACCTGGTTGGGCATCAGACTCTTGATTTTGGCTCAGGTCATGATCTCACGGTCATGATCTCACAGAGCCCTACACAGGGCTCTGTGCTTAGCAGGGAGTCTGCTTGAGATTCTCTCTCTCCCCCTCTCCTTCTGCCCCTCCCCCAATCGCTCTCCTAATAAATAAATAAATAAATAAATGTCTCTAAAAAAAAGACTTGTGTTTGCATATCTGTTTTCACTTCTGGTTGAATATAAAGTGGACATTTGGGTGATATCTTTTTAACACTTAAACAAGAAAATGACTTTATGTTGTTTGAGGAACTCTTTTTTTTTTCCCCAAAGTTTTTGTTGTTATAAATATATTTAACCATTTTTAAGTGCACAGTGGTATTAAGTAAATTTTTACTGTTGTGCAAACATCACCACCATTCACCTCCAAAACTCTTTTCATCTTCCCCAACTGAAACTCTATCCCAATTAATAAAAACTCCCCTATCTCTCCTCTCTCCAGTCCCTGGCAGCCACCATTCTGCTTCTCTCTCTTACGATTTGACTCCTAATACCTCATATAAGTGGAATCTTAACAGTATAGGACTTTTCAATGACTGGCTTATTTCACTTAGCATAATGTACTGACTTTAAGAGGCAAGTGAACTAAGTTTATTTGGCTTAGACTCAGCCTCTGCTTTTCGTGGAGCTCTTCTGACTAACTAAAGTTGTTCTAAACTGAAGGAAGAGTTGTCCCCTTTGTGATTCTACAAAGTAACTCTGAGTGGCTCCTATCAAGGGTATCACACCCAGTATGTATGCTGTATTTTAAGTAATTGTAAATTACAACCGTTTTGGAGAACAGGTGAATGGTATCCATTAATGTTGAAAAAAACACACCCAGGTCAAGAACTCTTCTAAACATTTACTCTGCAGAAATGGTGGTAAAGGAGACATTTGTAAGAATGTTTGCTATAACACATGTCTAATATTAGAAACCAAAACCATTAAATGACCATCAGTAGGGAGTAGATAAATAGAATATATAGCAGATTACTATATAGGAATTAAATTCATTCATACACTCATTCACCAAATAGTTATTGAGTGTTTTATACCAGCTGCTCATCTAGCTATCGGGTTTACGGCTGTGAATAACACAGATAAACCCCTCTCTTCAAGGAGTTTCTAATCTCGTGGGGAAACAGGTCCTCAACAGGATCCGTGAAATAGATTGTATGGTGGACAGTGATAAGGGCCAAGAAGAGAGAATAAAGCAGAAAAGGGGGATGCTAAGGGTTAGGCATGAAAGGGGTAGGACATGAAAGCTCGTGGGGTGACCGGGAGCAAAGATCTGAGGAAATGAGGGATCTAGCTTTGCTGACGAGGAGTGTTTTGCGCCATGAAACATGAGGCTGAGGGTGGGGAAGAGAGAGGAACAGAACAGAGCCCGGCTGGAATAGTGAACAATCCGCGTCAAAATGGACTGAGCTGTGTGGAAAAAATCAAATTGTAATGTATGCAGTAGCACACCATTTTTTTTTTTTTTTAAGATTTTATTTATTTATTTGAGAGCGAGCACGAGCTGGGTGAAGGGTAGAGGGAGGAGCAAACTCCCCTCTGAGCAGGGAGCCTGACGTGGTGCTCATGACTCAGGACTCCGGGATCGTGACCTGAGCCAAAGGCAGACTCTTAACTGACTGAGCCTGCCAGGTGCCCCAGTAGCACACCATTCTTATTAACAGCTTCTAGAGTAGGGGTTCTTAATGTGAATAAAAATACATATGATTGTAAAAGAAATCAACTATATTGAAATAGTAAATTTTTTAAACAGGTTTGTGCTATGAAAGTGTTTGGTTCTCAGAGCACTAGGTAGCAAGGCAGTAAATACACAGGCAAGTTCAAGTGTCATCCTTTAAAGAGCCATCAGTGTGAAGGCCATCATGGCTCGTTTGAATGGGGCTTTATGCCATCTGTGGGCTGGCCTTTGACTAACCCCCCTGCTTCCATGTGTCCATCAGTTGTAGGGAGTCAGAGTAAAATATATAGCTGGACCATTGATGTGAGAACATAGGACCTGGCCATTTTGAGTCTGAACAATTAACTACCAGGCACAAAGCTGCAGCAGTTGTTTGGCTCCATCACCTCAGCACTTCTAGACAGTCTGACAGCTGGTCTGGCACCTCTGTGATCATTTCAAGGTCGTGTGAGCATAAATATTTTAAGTTATCTCTAGGAGCTGTAATGTGAGAGGGAAATCTGAATGCTCTTGGTGATGAAGTCAAAGATACTACTGATATTTTAATGTTCTTGCCTACATTTACGGCTGAAAGACATGATGAATTTTGGTTAGAAGTTAGTTAAGCTAAAGGTGATTTTTTTTCTGTCCAAATTCCAGGATACTCTGATACCTGCCCATGAATGCCAGGTTAAGAATCTTGCTCTAAAGCAATATATTTTTCAAGGCTACACACACACACGCACACACACACACATTTATAAACGCACTAAATTTGTGATTGTTTTTGGTGGGTCTAGGACTAGGGGTGGTGTATAATATGTTATATAAATAGAGAATATGTTATAAAAATAATTATGGTATTCGTAGTAGAAAACCAACCCCCAAACCCCTAATACCCAGCAAAATTTGTAGACCAGATTCCAGTTCTTTCTATGCATCTACCTCGGTGGTCCTGTTTATTGATAGAAAAACAGCTGTTATGACAAAGGTAATGTCCTCGCTTGGCCAGTGTGATTATCTGGGCTCAAATCCCAGCTTAATTTCTAAATGTGTTTATGCCAAATAATTTATTTTATAAATGTTTGTGTACTTTTAAAAAAGGCTTTGTTTACACCTTTTTGCTTTTTTTTAAGATTTTATTTATTTATTTATTTGACAGAGAGAGATCACAAGCAGGCAGAGAGTTAGGCAGAGAGAGAGGGGGAAGCAGGCTCCCTGCTGAACAGAGAGCCCGACGCGGGGCTCGATCCCAGGACCCTGGGATCACAACCCAAGCCGAAAGCAGAGGCTTTAACCCACTGAGCCACCCAGGCGCCCCCACCTTTTTGCTTCTTAATAGCAGTAACGGTTAAGCAGATTGCTGCTGCAGACCCACACTTCTCACTAGTTGCGTGATGTTGGACAAGTGATTTTATCTCTTTGCTTTGGTCCCTTATCTGAGAAAAGGGAATAGCAGTAGTATTTTTATCATGGGGGAAGGATGATTCAATGAGTCAATATATATGAAGCTCCCAGAAAGGTGTCTGGCACATAATAAAGACTCAGTAAATCTAACTCTTATTCCTCTTCCTACTTCTTTTTTTTATTTTTATTTTTTTAAAGATTTTATTTATTTATTTATTTATTTATTTGACAGAGAGAGATCACAAGCAGGCAGAGAGGCAGGCAGAGAGGGAGGAGGAAGCAGGCTCCCTGCTGAGCAGAGAGCCCGATGCGGGGCTCGATCCCAGGACCCTGAGATCATGACCTGAGCCGAAGGCAGCGGCCCAACCCACTGAGCCACCCAGGTGCCCCTCCTCTTCCTATTTCTTGTCCTCCTTCACCTCCTAGACCTTGGGAAATTCATCCTACCTGACTCATGCGCTGTAGTCAGCATCCGCCATTTTTCAGGTCTCCTCCAAGTTAGCAAATGTTCCTTTAGCGTCTGCTGTGTGCAGTCTGCCTGGAGCCCCCTTACATCTGTTTGATTATTTGTTTGAATGTTGGAGATACACTGGGAATAAGACCATAAGCCCAGAATCTGCCCTTGCTGAGATTTAATGAAGATGTTTTCTAGATGTAAAGTGCATGAAAAGGCAAGAGTGCCTGCCTCTCCCTAGGAAAGGTGAAATAGGCTTGTGGGGGGGTGCTTCTGCTTGAGCTGAGTAGAGATTTGCCTACACTAGGAAGGCTGCATAACAGTCTAGGCACTTGTGCTTCCTGGACAGAACACGCTCTTGCTTCTTCGGGGCCTTCATAGATGGTGTGGCTTGGGCATGGTGTGCCTGTGGGATGTTGCCAGGCAGGTCTGTGCTTTATTTCCCCTCAGCCTAGACTCAAGTGAGCTGATACTTGCATTTTAGGAAGGTAGTGGTGGAAGGCAGTGTGGGAGAGGGTCTGAAAGGGGAGACTGGAGGTAGGAAGGCTTGTTGGAAGAAGAGGCAAGTGACCTTGGTAATGGTGTGGGCTAGGAGAGCAGGGGACAGGAGCACCTTTGCTGGCCACCTGACCCTCTGCCGTATGGCTGCTGCCCAGACAGTGCCCAGCACGCAGGACTTGGGATGCAAATGCTTTCCAAATAAATGAGTGAGACACGCGAGAGACAGATTTAGTGCCCCAGTTTCCAGCTCCATCTGCCCCATGGATGGTGGGAAGTTAACTGGAGGCATAGTGTGGAAAGAGGGGTGAATTTGAGGGGAAGACAACGGAGTCTGATTTGAATATGTTGACTTTGAGGTGCCCTGTGACCTCTGCATAGTGGCTGGAAGTCTAGAGTCATGATCCCAGAAATGGAAGGGGTGGGTAGAGGAGCAAAAGGAAGGTCACGGAAGAAGCCCTTGCATCTCCAACCAGACCATCATCTGTTTGGCAGACTGCTAGCAAATCTGTATGTCTAGCCAGGCCTTCCCTCCTGAGCTCCTCCAGATGGCGTTCCCTCATACTGCTTCACTCACCGTGCTTAAGGTAGAGCTCACCACTTCCCAAAACGTGGCTTTCCTCTTGATTTTTCTATTCTTTCCGATAGCCCTGGAGCCTTTCTGTTACTGGCCAAAACTGTAATGTTTTCTCTTGGACAAAATTTAATAAAATTTCAACTCCTCAGAATGCTTAAAATTGAAGGTTCTAGGGGCACCTGGGAGGCTCAGTGGGTTAAGCCGCTGCCTTCGGCTCAGGTCATGATCTCAGGGTCCTGGGATCGAGTCCCGCATCGGGCTCTCTGCTCAGCAGGGAGCCTGCTTCCCTCTCTCTCTCTCTCTCTCTCTGCCTGCCTCTCTGTCTACTTGTGATCTCTCTCTGTCAAATAAATAAATAAAATCTTTAAAAAAAAATGGAAGGTTCTAACTTCTCTTGAGTTTTCTTCGAAGGGCCTTTTTAAAAAAGATATTTCTAGGGGCACCTGGGTGGCTCAGTTGGTTAAGTGTCTGCCTTTGGCTCAGGTCATGATCCCGGAGTCCTGGGATCAAGCCCCGTGTTAGGCTCCCTGCTCAGTGGGAAGGCTGCTTCTCCCTCTCCCATTCCCCCTGCTTGTGTTCCCTCTCTCTTTCTTTCTCTCTCTCTGAGATAAATAAATAAATAAATAAAATCTTAAAAAAAAAATCTAAACTATTACCTTTTGAAAATTTTATTTTACTTTATTAAACATTTTCTTTTCTTTGAGTATAGTTGACTCACAATATCGCATTAGTTTCAGGTGTACAATATAGTGGTTCAGTGTTTCTCTATTGTATGCCATGCTTACTGCAGTGCAGCCTCCATCTGCTAAAATATCACCTAATAGCTTTTTCCGCCATTCTCTTCTTGCTTCTAGATCTTCCTGAGGCTCATTCCCTCACCCCCATTAGGTCTCTGTTCAAGTGTGACCCTCTTGGGATGCTTTCTCTAATCTCACTTTATCCCTAATAGCACCCTTCATCTTTGCCATGCTTGATTTTGTTGCATATCATTTAGTACTATATGATTGGCTAATTTTTTTTTTTTACACTTATCATTACCTGCTCTTAAAAAAAAAACCAAAAACACAACTCTCCCTCACTAGAATGGAGGGGAGCAATGTTGTCCTTTTTACCATTATATTTCTGGTCCTTTGCAGGCATTTGCAACCATGTGTGATATATTGTGTTAGGTCCAACTCACAAATTTGGAAGCTTAGGCTCCGCAGAGTCAGTTATAGAAGGTCAGGGTCACATGGTTTGTAAATGATAAAGCCAGTGACTTTTTCGCTGGGGATTTTTATACTTGTCAAGCTGCCTTCTAAGTAAGACAAATTATTACAAGCTTGTATTTTCACCACCATAGGGACCAAACTCCTCAAACGGAATACATTAGTGGAAATAGTTGTTATAGTTGGATATTTCTGATCATTAAAAAAAATACTCTTTTTTCCCCAAATTCAGGAGGATATGGCAAAAAAAGTGGTCGTAGTAAAAAATGGAGGGAAATGCTGAAGCTGCCCCCTGTCAGCCAGTGCAGCAAGCTTAGACATTTCATTGGTGAGTAAGCAGTGCCAGCCTGGAGATCGTGTCTGGCATTGTACCATTTGTTAGATGTTATTCTTTTAAGAAGTAATATGTACTCATTGTTCTGTATGGAACAAAAGAGTAATATAGTAAATGTTCCTCTGCCCTTGACCTCACTAATCATCTAGAAATAAACATACAATTTTCTAGTTTCATCCATGCTGTAGTTTGAATCAGTCCTTAATTCCTTTTTTTCTTGGCAAATAACATTTCACCATATGCATATATCACTTATTTATCCATTTGTCAGTAGATCGATGAGCTGTTTAAATTTTTTTGTCTATTATGAATAATGCTGCTAGAAACATTCCTATACACGTGTTTTCTTTGTGGTAGGGTATACATAAAAATTACCATTTTAACCATTTCTAAAAGATTTTATTTATGAGAGAGAGAGAGAATGAGAGTGTGCACATGTGTTGGGGAGGGTCAAAGGGAGAGGGAGATAAGCAGACTCCCTGAAGAGCCTGGAGCCCACGTGGGGCTTGATCTCATGATCCTGAGATCATGGCCTGAGCTGAAACCAAGAGTCAGTTGCTTGACCAACTGTGCCACCCAGGCTGTGCCTCATTTTAACCATTTTCAAATACAAAGTTCAGTGGCATTGATTTGGATATTGTATATATGTACTACACTTTGTGTATCCATTCATCTGTCAAATGGGTTGTTTCTACCATTTGGCTATTGTGAATAATGCTGCGAGGAACATGGCACAAATGTTTGAGTCCCTGCTTTCATTTCTTTTGTGTATATACCCAGGATTGGAATTGCTGGATAATATGATAATTCTATGTTAACTTTGTAAGGCACTGCTAGACTGTTTCCCAATGTGGCTATACCATTTTATGTTCCCACAAACACTATATGAGGGTTCCAGTTTCTTCATGTTCTCTCTGAGGACATGACTTTTATTTTCCATTTTGTTTTTATTATAGCAATCTGAGTGGGTGTGAAGTGGTTTCCCATTGTGGGTTTTTCTTTTCTTTTTTTCTTTAATTAATTTTTTAAAAAGATTTTATTTATTTATTTGACAGACAGAGATCACAAGTAGGCAGAGAAGCAGGCAGAGAAAGAGGAGGAAGCAGGCTCCTCGCTGAGCAGTGAGCCCGATACGGGGCTCGATCCCAGGACCCTGGGATCACAACCTGAGCTGAAGGCAGAGGCTTTAACCCATTGAGCCACCCAGGCACCCCTCTTTAATTAATTTTTTTAGTTTTATTTATTTAGGTAATCTTTACACCCTGTATGGGGCCTGAACTCACAGCCCCGAGATCAAGAGTCATTTGATCCTCCGACTGAGCCAGCCAGGCACTCATATCTCATTGTGTTTTGATCTGTGTTTCCCAATGACTAATGATACTGAATATCTTTTCATGTATTTATTGGCCATTTGTATATCTTCTTTGGAGAAATACCTGTTCAAACCCTTATCCATTTTTTAAAGTAGGCTCTGTGCCTAGTGTGGAGCCCAATGTGGGGCTTGAACTCATGACCCTGAGATCAAGAGTCAGATGCTAGCTTAACTGATTAAGACGTCTAGGCACCACCTTTGCCCATTTTTTAATTGGATTGTTTGCCTTGTCTTTGTTGAAATGTAAATGTTCTTTATATATTCTAGTTACTATACTCTTATCAGACAGTTGCTTTTCAAATATTTTCTCCCATTCTGTGTTTTCTTTTACTTTCTTGATGATTTCTTTTAGGAACACAAGTCTTTATTTTGATGAAGTCCAATTGATCTATTTTTTCCTTTTTTTTGCTGTGCTTTTGGTGTCATATCTAAAAAACCACTAGTTAATCCAAAGTCACAAAGATTTACACCTATATTTTCTTCTAAGAGTTTTATAGTTTTATCTCTCACATTTAGATGTTTGATCCAGGTGGAGTTAATTTTTGTATATGGCGTGAGGTAGGGATTCAGTTTCATTCTCTTGCATTGGATATCCAGTTCCAGAACCGTTCATTGAAATGACTGTTTTTTCACCATTGAGCTCTCTTCATGCCTTTATAAAAAATCCCCTGACTGTAAAGGTGAGGGTTTATTTGTAGACACTTGTGAGGAAACATGTGTTTGTATCTAGGGCCTACCCAAGTAATCCAGGTAAGTCTGCCATCTCGAGATTCTTGATTTCATCATATTTGCAAAGGCTCTTTTTTATTTTATTTATTTATTTATTTATTTGACAGAGAGATCACAAGTAGGCAGAGAGAGAGAGAGAGGGAGAAGCAGGCTCCCCAAGAGCAGAGAGCCCGATGATGTGGGGCTCAATCCCAGGACCCTGAGATCATGACCTGAGCCACAGGCAGAGGCTTAACCCACTGAACCACCTATGTGCCCCAACAAAGGCTCTTTTTTAAAAGTGAGGTCATATTTATAGGGATTAGGACCTGGTACATTGGGAGGGCCATTATTCAGCCTGCTACCGATGGTAACTCTAGGCTTTACTTTTTGAGGAACTGGCAAGTTGTTTTCCAAAGCAGCTGCATATTTTACATTCCCACCAGAAATATATGAGAGTTCCAGTTTCTCCACATCCTTGCCAACACTTATTTTCATTATAGCCATCCTAGTGAGTGTGATTGGCATTTCACTTATGACCAATGATGTCAAACACCTTTTTTATTCATTATTGGCTGCGCTTCTTTGAGCCAACTGATATTTGATCCATAGTGTTAATAGTATTTTTTTTAAGATTTTATTTATTTATTTATTTATTTATTTATTTATTTGACAGAGATCACAAGTAGGCAGAGAGGCAGGCAGAGAGAGAGGAGGAAGCAGGCTCCCTGCTGAGCGGTGAGCCCGATGCGGGGCTCGATCCCAGGACCCTGGGATCATGACCTGAGCCGAAAGCAGAGGCTTTAACCCACTGAGCCACCCAGGCGCCCCTTAATAGTATTTTCTGCATATAGCACCAAGTGATTAGAATGGAGGTTGCTTCCATTATTTGACATTTGCATTGTAGTTAAGATATAAAATTTACTTTGGGACTATTTATGCTATTGAACGTATACATAGGGTTATAGAAACATTTTCATGTCTATTTGCATATTAATTACCTCAGTATGTTTCTGATTCTTTGGGGGTAAGTTTTAGTGCATAGAATGAAGTAAATTATATTAAATGTCCCATTAGTTAACTTTTTCCCCCAGTTCATGCTCTTTTTAAAATTAGTTTATTTTCATTGAGATATGTAATTTACATATAACGTTGTGTAAGTTTAAGGTGTACAGCACCCTCAGTTAAGTTTTAAATGTCATCGTTTATTTGCTTCCATGTACCTAGCACTGGGTATGGCCCTACCAATACAATGGCTAAGAAACAGATGTGACCTTTGCTCTCTTGTCAGAGATAGTTATAAAATAAAGAATTGCAGGAATAAACTTCATTACGAACTGCAGTAAGCCCTTTGAAGGAAAAGGTACAGACTTTTGGGTAAGTACAGGATCCCAAAGTGGGACAGATCATGACAATTTCCAGGGACATGAAAAAGGCCCGTCTTCCTGGAGTGGAAACAAAGAAGGACAGTGGCACTGTGTGAGAGGAAGGGAGGGAGGCAGGGCTTGTGGGCCTGGTAAGGGCATTTGTCTTAGTTGAAAGTCAGCCTGTCAGATTTCCATCAGAGGGATGATGTAAGTGGATGCACGTTTTTGAAGGGCATCTGGGGTTTCAGTGTGAGGACTGATTTATTTTTTTATTTTTATTTTTTATTTTTTTTTAAAGATTTTATTTATTTATTTGACAGACAGAGATCACAAGCAGGCAGAGAGGCAGGCAGAGAGAGAGAGAGGAGGAAGCAGGCTCCCTGTGGAGCAGAGAGCCCGATGTGGGGCTCGATCCCAGGATCCTGGGATCATGACCTGAGCCGAAGGCAGAGGCTTTAACCCACTGAGCCACCCACGCGCCCTGTGAGGACTGATTTAGAGTGCGGAGAGGGGAGCGGGAAGGCCAAAGGAGCCATTGTTGCTACTGCTGGCGGGAGTGATGGAAGCTTAGTGTCAGCTGGAGGCCATGGAGCCTGATGACTATGAGAGATCTCTAAGAAGTGGGATCTGGTTGATTTATGTGGAAGTAGGAAGGACGGGGTCCTAAGGATGACTTCCAGGTCTGATCACCCACCGAAATCAGGTTCACAGGGTGAGGGGCTGTGTTGGATGCAATCTGTGCATTCATGTTTAGAGATCAGAGGAGTCTGGGCTATAGGTGCAATCTGGGAGATATCCGTGTCCCCTGGTGTCTCGGCATCACATGACTGGGAGTGGATAAGCTCTTCCTAGAGACTAGAGGACGGGGAAAGAGCCCTCGCATCCCCGTGTGGCTCAGGCGAAGCACACCAAGGAGGAGCAGGCGGATGGGTCTGTATGCATTCTGGAAGTGGAGGGGTCAAGAGACCGGCAGACTAGGATGGATCCAGGCAGGTGGGTATGCAGCAGAAAGGTTGAGCAGCCGCTGGTTTTGCCCCCAAGGTCAGGGTCTTTGTTTCTATCTCTAATGCTCAGCCACAGTTTTGTTAAATGAATGAATGAAGGAATGAATAAATTGGTGACCTCAGCTGGAGTTGTGTCAGGCAGATGTACAAGCAGACTTCCCCCTAATGAACGAACGTGCCTACTCAGCTACCCTCTACTTCGTAAGCAGATCTTTATTTTACTAGTTTACATGTACATTTGATCTAGTGTGGTAGTAAGCATATTTGGGGATTTTCTGAATTTTATCCTCTGATTGTCCTGAATTTGTGGATGCTGGAAAATCCATGAGCTATAAAACTTTGAGTCAGTGTCCTTTCTAAAGGAGAATCACTTTTAAAACAAGAGAGAAAGCTTCTGGTAAATGGCTCATTCTTGTCTTGGAATTTGGTGCATTTAGAAACAGCAGTCTCTTGACTAGCTGGTTCCCCTTCCAACTTGGCCCATCAGGAGAGTGCCTCTCAGGAGTGGACTTGGACTCTGGTGCACTGTGCATTCCAGGCCCA